TTCCCCCCATTCTGTCTCTCATAGTTGAAGTGTACCTAGGATGAAAATTACAGGCCTCATCTTTTTAAGTGGGAGAACTTGCACAATTGGTGGCTGACTTTTTTGCCCCACTGTACAGGACTGTCTCAGAAAATTAGAATATTGTGATAAAGTTCTTTATTTTCTGTAATGCAATTAAAAAAACAAAAATGTCATACATTCTGGATTAAGAACTTTATCACAATATTCTAATTTTCTGAGACAGTCCTGTACAGTGGNTCAAATCAACACATTTTCTACTAAAGCACAATAGTGGTTTGTGCAACATTTGTTTTTGAATATACAGTGGGGCAAAAAAGTCAGCCACCAATTGTGCAAGTTCTCCCACTTAAAAAGATGAGGCCTGTAATTTTCATCCTAGGTACACTTCAACTATGAGAGACAGAATGGGGGGAAAGAATCCAGGAAATCACATTGTAGGATTTGTTATTCATTAATTGGTAAATTCCTCTGTAAAATAAGTATTTGGTCACCTTAAAACAAACAAGATTTCTGGCTCTCACAGACCTGTAACTTCTTCTTTAAGAGCCTCCTCTGTCCTCCACTTGTTAACTGTATTAAGGGCGACTGTGGCTGTGAGGAAGTGTGGTCGTCTTTCAACCAGAAGGTTGTGGGTTCGATCCCAGCCCATGCAGTCAACATGTCGATGTATCCTTGGGCAAGATACTTAACCCTGAGTTGCTCCCGATGGCATGGCCAACGGTGTGTGAATGTGTGTGAATGTTAGGTCCTAGAGTAAGTTACACTGCTCTGTATGAATGGGTGTGAATGGGTGAATGACATGTAGTATGTAAAGTGCTTTGAGGGGTCTTAAAGACTGGATAAAGCGCTATATAAGTACAGTCCATTTACCATTTAATGGCACCTGTTTGAACTCGTTATCAGTATAAAAGACACCTGTCCACAACCTCAAACAGTCACACTCCAAACTCCACTATGGCCAAGACCAACGAGCTGTCAAAGGACACCAGAAACACAATTGTAGACATGCACCAGGCTGGGAAGACTGAATCTGCAATAGGTAAGCAGCTTGGTTTGAAGAAGTCAACTGTGGGAGCAATTATTAGAAAATGGAAGACATACAAGACCACTGATAATCTCCCTTGATCTGGGGCTCCACGCAAGATCTCACCCCGTGGGGTCAAAATGATCACAAGAACGGTGAGCAAAAATCCCAGAACCACACGGGGGGACCTAGTCAATGACCTGCAGAGAGCTGGGACCAAAGTAACAAAGGCTACCATCAGTAACACACTACGCCGCCAGGGACTCAAATCCTGCAGTGCCAGACGTGTCCCCCTGCTTAAGCCAGTACATGTCCAGGCCCATCTGAAGTTTGCTAGAGAGCATTTAGGTGATCCAGAAGNTAAGCTGTATGCCATAATCAGCAATATTAAAATAATAAAAGGCTTGCAATATTTCAGTTGATTTGTAATGAATCCAGAATGTATGACATTTTTGTTTTTTTAATTGCATTACAGAAAATAAAGAACTTTATCACAATATTCTAATTTTCTGAGACAGTCCTGTATATTCAAAAACAAATGTTGCACAAACCACTATTGTGCTTTAGTAGAAAATGTGTTGATTTGAATGGTGTTTCTCATTTGGTTTCATTAACAGACCATATACTCTAATATTAATGCAAGTTAATGATGAAAGTTAATGCATTTTACTCATGCGGATGTTTTTTAGGAAGTCACTGGAAAATTGTTTGGTTGCAATGACTTCCGTGCTGCCTTAGAGAACGGAGTCCTGCTTTGCGAGTGAGTAATGATGCACAAAACTTTTACAATGTCATATTTACTTTTTTGAGGATACAATTTGAGTTTCATATTCATACAAATGTTCTCTGTAGCTTATTTTGTGCAATGGGACCCAGGTGATACAATTACATCCCAATTATCTTCCAGATAAAGTTAAGTATATGTGAGTTCTTCCTGTTTTTAATTTGAGTTTTTCCTCGCAGCTTGATTAACCGGTTGAAACCCGGCATCATTAAGAGAGTAAACAGGCTTTCTACTCCCATTGCTGGTCTGGTGAGTATTACATCTGACAGTTATGACCATGTCTCTGTGTGTGCGTGTATGGGCGTAATTTCCACTGGGGACTTTTCAAAAGCCAGTTTGTGTCCCCCCCACTTTTCAAATGTGTTTTTTTTTTTTTTTTTACGCAAGTAAAAGTGGTCATGGAGGAGCGTGTGTGTGTGTGTGTGGCAGGAGCGCATTTTGTGTGAGAGAGAGAGAGAGACAGACAGAGAGAGACGGAGAGAGTTACGGGGGTTGTTGTTAGCATCTGGTGCTAGCTCGGAGCTAACGGAGATTAGAAGCAGTTTCAACAATAAGGAGAGGGAGAGTCCTCTCCTGTCGGACTGAGAGGCTGAGGTAACATCAGCTCAGGGAGGTAAAGGACTCGCTGAGTGATTATATTGTAAACTTTAGTCTAAGTTATCTCAGTGGGTCTCAAACGGTTTGGTCTAAACAAATATGTCCATCTATTTAATATAGTTGTTCAAAATAAGTAAAACAACTATTCCAATGTCAGTAAAGAATTAAAAACACAGTTTGAAAGGAGAGTGATTAGTAAAATATGCATAAATAAAAAGAAAGAATGCAGTCTAGGTAAGATAAAGATAGGAGAGAGGACCTCTCTCCTATCTTTATCTTACCTAGACTGCATTCTTTCTTTTTATTTATGCATATTTTACTAATCACTCTCCTTTCAAACTGTGTTTTTAATTCTTTNATGATTTACACATATTCATACAAACGAAAAAAAATCATACGTAGACATAGTGTGTATGTGTGTGTGTGTGTGTGTGTGTGTGTGTGTGTGTGTGTGTGTGTCGTGCGTGCGTGCGTGCGTTCGTGCGTGCGTGCGTGCGTTCGTGCGTGCGCGCAAACTAAATGGACACCTAAATATAGAAGGAAAAATGCCTTGGTGTTACTAATAACATAAGTGATGGCTCTGCATAGACCCTGGAACTGCCACCCCCCATCATTGCTTTCATTCTTTATAGCTGGGTTTAAAGTGTGTTCTGTGAAAAAGGTTTATAAGCTCCATGTGTTATGTTCTATGTTCTGTTCAATTTGTTTTGCTGTATGGTCTTTCATTTATTTTATTTTGCGATCAGGGTGACTAATTCCTTTAAAAAAAACAACACAATGTTAAGTGTGTATGATTTGGCAGCATCTAGTGTTGAGTTGCAGATTGCAGCCAACTGAAAACCCCTCCAACTCCCGGAACAACCCGACTAGGACAGTTTGACAGAGGAGAGGGTTTAGTTCGATACAGTTGGAAAGATATTGATACATTTGAACTTGACGGATCAATACATCAAAAAACTAAACATTCTTGAATCACAAAAAAACGTATCTCAACAACCTTAATGGGGTAAACAACAAGCTACACCCTACACAGTAATTGTCATAAAAAACCCACTAATTTGAGCTGGGCCCAGGGACTAAGTGCAACAGTGAAAATACATAGTGCAAACATTTTCAATAATAACCCCGTCATGGGCTACAGTACCATGCTACCAACATCATTGTAGTCGTTAATGGTCTCCTGTTAGTTAAACTGCACCAACACGTTTGAAAAAAAAATGAATTTGCTTTGTTTTGCTGAACATTTTTATTGAAAACATTTAATTACTTTCCCGTCTGTTATTCAGTAAAATGCTAGCAAAATCACTTCACACATTAATGTTCTCCCACTGGTTGTACATAATTTTTAAGAAATAAGCTTTTTCAAACATTTAAATAATTGTTTATTTTGGGAAACATTGAATAACTCCACTTTTATACATTCAAGTTCTACCAACACCACTTAGCACATTAACTGTCTCCTGTTTGTCAACAACACCAATTGGTTTGGAAAAATATGCTTTGCTTAATGTTGTTGAACATTTTTTATGTCTGTCATACAGTAACACGCCAGCAAAAATATATATTCCCACATTTATGGACTGCCAGTGGTCAAACTACAACACTTAATTTGAAGAAATATGCTTTTAAATAATTGTAATTATGTATTAAATTTTTTTGAAATATTTAATAACTCCACCGTTAGACATTCAAGTGCTGCCAAAATCACCTAGCACATAAGTCTCCTGCGTTATACTACACTCCTAAGTTAGGAGAAATGTGCTTTCCCTCATTTTTTGGTGAGTGTTTTGTGGAAAATATTCAATAACTTCTGAACTAGAGGGTTTTCTGTCTTTGGTTGTGTCAGAGGAGGAGTAGGTTCACTGGAGAGGAGGTGAGAGGAGGTGAGAGAGGGGAGACAAACCATGGATGATGGGCCGGGTGCTTTAGAGAGCACAGAGACAGTGTTGAGGGGGTCCGGCTCCAGCACACTGCAGACTGACAGTGTTTGGCTGGGTGTCATATCAGGACGCAGCGTTATGTCACAGGCAGAAGGTCACATGATTGCTCACAGTCATAATACAGCATTTAACACACACACACACACACACACACACACACACACACACACACACACACACACACACACACACACACACACACACACACACACACACACACACACACACACACAGGCAAAAACACACATAAATCTACAAACACACAGCATGTAAGTTCTGAAAAGTCAACATAACTTCCAAAATGTGTCCCCCCTTCAAATGTGTTATGCCTTAGCCTACATCAACATACAAACCATTCTATATACAAACCATTCAATCAGGATATAAAATGTCATAATGTATACCTAAATAACCAAATCCAAATGATGAATGTCTAAGACTGTTATAGAGGGAATCTCAGAAGGATAATTAAACGAGTTGCAATATCTTAACCTTCATATTCTTGCAATTGCTGAAAAGCTACACTTTACAACTTCATCTGTCCAATTATCTGCAGCCAGAGTGAGAGAAATGTTAACCTTTAAGACCATAGCACAGATATGAGGTCCAGTCTGGACAGAGGACAACTGTTAGGTGTATATGCAGAGAAAGAGATTTGATCATTTATTTTATATTAACAAATGATCTGTTTTTTGGTAATCAAAATGGAAAACATTTCACACGCCCATAAACAGTCATGGTGCCTTTATTATATACAGTGGTCCGTTTTACATTTGTTGGGACATTTATGAATAAGACTTTTTTAAACTTTTTAATCAATTTATTTATTCGTTTGCATTGCCAGTCATCTTGAAGTTGGGCTTGAGGTTGTACACAAGTAGTATCGTCACTCAAAAACAACCTGCTTCTTCATTAATTGTCCACTAGATGTCACTCTAATCTTACGTTTGAGATATCTCGATGAGAAACGCCAATAACCATTTTAATGTCTTTGATGGGGCTTGTAATGTGCTAATAAAAGGAAGACTTCATTTATTTGATGACACGATGGAACAATCATTGTTTGTATGTAATTGTTGTATATTTGGACCAAAATTATACAACATAAAACATATACAAGTATTTTAGTGCTTAATTTGAGCTTCTTTGTTTTCACAGAGTTTATTAAAACATACATTATTCCTGGATTTGACAGAATACACAGATGTTTTAACTCAATTTTGCTTCATCAAACATATTTACCTTCATTTCCATGTTTTGTGTCTTATCTTTAAATCAACACAGTTTCCTTTCAGACCTTCAAAAACTCTGCAAGATGTATCCCATAATCATATTTATTGCACAACTGCATCAACAGGATTTTGACTGTAAGATTTTTATGGTTGTTTTTATATGCTGTATTATTTCTGGAGACTGCAGCTGTATCTCTAAATGTTTTTGTGTTGTTTCCAAAAATTCAGATAGATATTTAGCAACATTTTCTCTCAAAAGTAGCTGATGCTTTTTATGCATTAAACTAAATCATACATTTTATATAGCAGGCCAATTACTCAGATGATGAGCGATAATGTCAGTGGCTCTCCTCAGCAGAAATACTGATGTGCTCTCTGAAATATGATACAGCCAACACTGCACTTCAAGAGTAAATGAAAGAGCTCTTTGGTGTTAAGCTAAAATCAATATTGGGTTAAGACTTGGATTTGAGGAAGAGTCTTTTAAGGGGATTGTGAAGACAGCACAGGTCCGTCAGACCAGCTTTATTTTACCCTTTAGGTCTTTGAGACATTGTGTGCACTGACCTTTGCCTGTTATTATATTAGTGCAGGGGTGTACACACAAAGACCCCAGACACAAAACTCCCCTCTCAGTTGTACAGGAGTGTTGGGTTCTTGCAATTTATCTTAGAAACAAAATAATGACTCCTAGCCAAGGACATGTTTTCAACATTGGTTATAACAATATAAATAAATTGAGCATTCCTTTGCTAAGAATGCAGTGTTCAAAAAGAGTGGGAGGGCAGAAGATTGAATCTCTGGGGGCCCAGAATACAACTGTTCCATGGCAAAATTGACAACATAATGTGCCCTGTACAAAACATATCATGCATTAGGTCTCTTTGACCTCTGAGCACAGTTATTAGGCATGGACCCGAACATAACTCTAACCTGACTTCTGCTACTCAGGATTATGTGATATGATTGAAAGCAGAACAACTAAAGTACTAAATGCATAATGCAGTGAAAGTTGTTTCCCAGGTCAAGAATGAACTTTAAACCTTATGTAATAAACAAAGTTTATGATGACTCCACTCATTATATGTGCCAGGTTTATGACAAAAGCACAGTGCTCTATGTAAATGTAATGAATGGAGAGTTGTTTCATAAAGTCTTCTTCATAGTAACAGCTTCACTGCAGCCTGAAGGAATAATGTTCATGAACTTAAGTCACATGTCTTACTGTTTTGCAAGCTGCTACAGAAAGACACAAGTTTCCTGTTACAGAGATAAACACATCCTTACTGGACTTATCATAAAAGGCATTACAGCAGGCAATGCAGATGTTAACCATCCATTATAGTGACATAAGGCTACTACATTATAAACAGTTGTAATAATAAGTTAACTGAATAATATTCACATTATCAGGACAAATTAAGTCATAATGCATGTTTGCATCATAGCATACCTGGATTTTGTGTTCTTCTGTTAAAAAA